TCCTCCTCCTCCTCCTCCTCCTCCTCCTCCTCCTCCTCCTCCTCCCCCTCCTCCTCCTCCTCGAGTGCCTGCTGCCCAACTAAAAAGAGCCCAAGCCGAAGCGCGTGGCAGATCGCGTTGCCCACCCGGACCCCCCGCGGAGTCTTCACCACCAACGGCTCCGCGGATGGCTCGAGCACGCACCTCGCCGAGGTAGGCGTGGTGCGCGTCGGCCTCGGGTGCGGCTCGGAGGGCCACGTCGGACGCGCCACTGGGGGCCTGCCATGGGCCACGGGTCCTCTTCCTGGATGGCTGCAGGAGGTGGGGGAGGCAGTCGAGATTACGCTGCACCACATCGTCCCCCCCTCCTCATGCTACCCAGCGACTAAACCAGAGCTTCCTTGACGCATCGCGGAAGGACCGAACATGTGCTCCGCCCCGTCACACGCGCACGCGGAGTTGTGGCGGAGAATCCGGAGGCTGATATACAGCATCGGCCAGAAAATCAAGAGACACGGGGCGATCTTACGCCTGGGCTACGGCACCATCGAGAGGAGGCTCGCGCTGGGAGACAGACTGGCCGTCTCGGGGGGCGAGGCTGGGATCCGAGCGCCACCCCTGCAGGCAGCGGGCAGCGGCACTCGAGAAGACGACGGGGTGCTCTGGGCGGGCGGGCGCGACGGCGGTCCCGGAGCCCAGGGACGGGCCGCAGGCTGGTGTGCGCGAGGGCCTCGAGGTGCGCGTGAAGTCCCGCAGAGGGGAGGAGGGCGCCGAGCCCGACGGGTTTCACGGCTTCAGCGAGGGGCGGCGGCCGAGGTAGGGCGAGCGACATCGGAGCGGTGGCCGCGGGGGCTGCAGCGGCCGGTGTGGCAGCCGCAGTCGGCGGCGACAGGTCTCCTCCGCCAGCGGCGAGAGGTACGAGGGCTCCACGAAGCAGAAGGCCCTGCCCACGGGTGCGGAGCCGTGCGGGAGCAGGGCCAGGACACGGCGGGGGCTCTCGAGGCGCAGCTCTGCCGCGGGCGGCCAGCCGCCGTGGAGCAGGCGCACGACGCCGCACGGGGCGATGGCAGCGGGGAGCACCGCGGTCTGCGACGCCTGCAGGGCCAAGGGCAGCGGCGGGGCCGTCCTGCTGCTCTTAGGGGAGTGCCGCACTGAGGCTGCGGGCCAAGGGCGCGAAGACGAGGAGGGGCCACGCCAGGCAAGACCTCCCCGGAGAGCCGATCTAGACCGCCAGGGCCCGAAAGCCAGGCGGCGGCAGGCCGCAGTCGGCTGCTGCCTCGGTGCGGCCTGCCACTCCCACGGGGGGCCTGCCAAGGGCCAGGCTCAGCGGGCCCGACGGGGTCAGTCCGCAGTCCACGAGCACTGGGTCAGCGCGGCTTCCGCCGCTGCGCGGGCCCGAGGAGCCCCGAGGTGCGCCCGCCCCTCGCGCGAGAAGCGCCGAAGCCAGAGCAGCACGCCTGAAGCGCGCTTCCTTATCATCGGCGATGACGAGCGTCCTGGGGGGGGGGAGGGGGCGGGGAGGGGTATGACGTAACGCCCCCCCCCCCACCGGCACCACAGCCGCGCCCGCGCGCACGACGACGATAAGCGACGAGCAAGAACGACGACGACGACGACGACGACGCGAGCAGCATGCAGGTGGTGATCTGCACGACAACGCCTGTGTACACCACTGTGCTCGCGTGCACCACAGCGCTTGTGTACACCACAACGCCTGCGTACACCGCAACAGC